CGTTAGCAGGCTTGACAGTGTGAAAGCAAGTCTGTTGCGGGGGCGGGGAGACAGGGTTTCACTAAGTAGCCACGTCCAACTTCTAGACCAGGTCAGCCTCAAACTCAGAGTCCACTGTCTCTGCTTCTGTGAACTGGGCATAAAGGCGTGTGCTACCATACAGCTTAATTACACCTGCTTTGTTTTTCTTTTTCAAAAGAATATTCTGTGTTTGGAGATCACAGGACGACTCGTAGAAGCTGGCTCTCTCCTTCCACCTCGTGGGTCCCCAGGGATTGGACTCAGGCCTTGGTGGCCAGCGCCTTAATCAGCTGAGTCATCACTGCCCACCTGTGCTTTTCCTATACACGTGAACCAGGCCGTTTTATGACACACACTATGTGATAAGCTCTCTCCACAGACCTTTCCATGTGGCAATCCGTTCAATGCTCACAATATAACACAAACACCCAGGGAGGCAATCACTTCTTGTTGTAAATGGTCCTGCTTCCTCTGGGACATCTTGTGAGAGGGAGACTCTGCCCCATCCATCCCTTCCTGGGACAACCAGGATTCTTGGGGGAGGAGAGAGAGGGTCAGCAAGACAGTTATTGATGCCATGGAAAGCTTCACCGTGCCTGCCTGTCATCATCCCTGGCATCCGAAGGAAGACAATGCACTCTCACCCAGAGAAGAGGCTGTCATCCTACCTGGGACAAGAGCCTCTTCCTTCCATGACAACCCTCCACACAGGCCTGTGTGCCAACGTAAGGGATGAAGCTCGCCAGGGTAACTGAGGAGGCGGCAGGTGCGATGTCTGCCACCCCACAAAGATGATGACTCCAGGGTCAGAAATAACCCCACAGTCATCTTCCATGTGTGGGCCCCTCCAGCCATTCCCAGAGAGCCTGGGCCCTGAGTCACAGTGAAGAGTCCAGAAGTAGCCATGGACCCAAGTCACTGGGCAGGAGCCGCACAGAACTAGCCTAGAGTATTTTGCTTTTTGCCTTTTTGTTTGTTTGTTTTCTTTTTGGGGATTGTTTTGTTTTTGTTTTTTGTAAATTAGAGGCCTATTCCTTCAGGAGCCCTCCCAGGGTTACTTTCCTCAGAGCTGGCTGTGAGAACAGACAGGAGACAACCCACTTTCTTTCTGCACAGAGAGTATCAGATGACTGAGTCCTGGGCCTTTGATGTCTCCGGTAAAGATGGTTGACGAGAAGCCTGGTCCCGTCCTCAGGGAGCCACCAGGCTCTGGACGCATGGGCAAAAGTGGTCTAGCATAGAGAGGAACATACAGGATGACAGAACAGGAACACGCATGTGTCATGCCCCCCTTACTCATCCCCTCAAAACAGTCTGGACGTCTCCATCCATGACTGAGTCCCCCACCCTGACCCTTGGGGCAGACTTGGGATGAAGGGAACTCCTCCTCCACCCTACCCCTCCCTCCTCAACCCTAGGGCCTGGTAACTGACTCCCCAGGATGGAAAACTGACTTCCACAAGCCCTAAAAATAACCGGACCACTTAATGCTCCGAACATAGCCTCTCCCTGCCCCCGCCCGCCCTCCCCCAGCCAGATAAAGGCAGCTGCCTGACTGGCAGAGAACAGAGACCCAGAGCCAAGGTGAAGAGAAGGCGTGGGACCCAGGAACAGAACAGAACCAACGCCAAAGGACCCCAGGACTACAGACTCCACGGCTGCACCTGCTAGAAGCCCGAAAGCACTCAGACCCCAGGCTAGACCCTCGGTGAGCACCCTCCCCCAACTCTCTCGGCTGTGGCCCTCTGGACCTTGCAGCATGAGTGTCGGAGTGAGCCTAGCTGGTGTGAGCACAAGGGTACAGGGCAGGCCCCGAGCGAGAGAAAATCCACCAAGATTCTTCTCTAGAGGTAGCAAGCATTTGTATGTGTCCAGCATCTGCCGTGGTTACCACAGGCTAGCCCAAGGAGCAGAATCTCTCTGATCAATTATTATAATCCAGAGAGAGTTTCGGGCGGTCACCTAGAGTCTTGATTTTTTAATTACATTTTTCTTCCGTGTGCGTGTGTGTGTGTGTGTGTGTGTGTGTGTGTGTGTGTGTGTATGTGTGTGTGTGTGAATGGGGTCTAGCACCACAGTGAAAATGTAGCAACCAGAGCACATTGTTTCTCTGTTTTACCATAAACATGGACCCTGGGAACGGAACTGGGGTCCTCAGAAACAGCAGGAGGTACCTTTAACACCTGTCCATCCTGCCAGCCCTGGAGTTTTGGTTTTCAAAATGAAGCTGTAGGCCTGGGACCTAGCTTAGGTGGTGAAATGCTTTAGTCTTAGTCGTGGGGGGCAGAGGCAGAAGGATCTGAAGTTCAAGGTTATCCCCAACCATTCTTGAGTTTGAGACCACTGTGGATGAGAGTCTGTCTAAAAACTAAATAAAAATGCAAGTATGAAAGTCCTCTTGCTTCAGGGTTTCCTCCCCAGGGAGCCTGAGGCCAGTCCAGGGGCTGCAGGAAAGACGTACAGACAAAAGCTAGGGAGGTAAGGGACCCAGATTAGCAAGGCCTAGGCCGAGCCCAGTTCCAGGCATTGTTGGTGACAATCCCAGCACACACGGCCTCAGCCATCTGGTGCCCAGGCTAGCCTTTGAGCAATTTTCCTTGTCAGGCAGCCTGGGTGGGATGATTTTGTCCCAGGCCATTGTCTTGCCCTGTGGGAAAACCCTCAGACCAAGTCTAGGCCAACTCAGAATGGAAGATCAGGTCTGAAGCAGCCCACAGTAGGCACCCAGAGCCAGCCGGTGCCGATGAGGGGCCAGGGGGGCAGAGGGAGTAGGGGGAGGGGGGGTCCTAAGCAGTAGGTGATCCTGAGTGGCTGCTCAGCATAGCAGACCTATGTATTTTTGAAACTTACTATATCCTAGAACTGGTCCCAAACCTGTCTGTAGGAGTCTCAGGCCAGGCCAAGAATGGAGATGGGAAGGCCGAGAGCCAGAAAACTGGCCCCCTTTTTCCCCACCCCCTAGCTGAGCCTCCATGGACAGCTCCTGTCCCCTCTCTGGGCCTCTGTCTCCCCTAACGACAGACCTCTGAAGATCCTTAAGTCTTTGGCCTCTGTAACCCTTGAAAGGCTTTTGGGGTCCCTGGGGTTTGGGGTTAGGAGCAGCTGGTGATCTGTATAGGATCTGTATAGCTCGGGCCACCCTCACAGTGACCAGCTTTTGCACGGGTTTGTGTGTGGTCTCCTCAACAAAGCTCAGAGACGAGAGGGTCGGACCGCCCAGAGGTTTTGCTTGGGGCCCAGGCAGGAAATGTCAGGCCGCACCTCCCTTAGGACCCTGATACCCATGGTGGATAGGCCAGGGAGGGGGTGGAGCAGGCAGCTCTCCCTTCTCTCCCTCTGAGGTAGAGGACAGGACGATGTCCTGTCTCTACCTTATCGCTAGCGTTCCTGCTTCATCCCACACCCTCAGATCCCTTTGAGCCGTGGGGGCCCTTCAGGTTGGCCTACAAGCCGGACACCTTGACACCTCACAGGAAGCAGAAGGCAGTCTCCTAGAGCCCACAGTATGGAAGGAGATGGCACGGGACATGGGCACACCGGGTCTCCCTGGCCGAGCTGGAACCTCTCTCTGAGTGCCATGATGTCTGCCTGAGGCCTGGACCTCAGCTATATTTGGTGCCAAGAGCAGGGCGGGGGGGCAGTGGGTCAGGGCAGCACATAGCTCACATTCTCTCCCTAACGGCCTCCGGGGACTGTCATAACACCTGTCACAAGACAGATAGGACATACATGAAACAGACCAGGAGATGGCTGGAGTGAGGTAAGACCATTGAGGAGGCGGGAAGCACGGGGAAAGGCAGGCCTTGGTGGAAGCCAGGGGGGCAGGGGGAGGGGCCGGCATCCGGATGCTGGCTGGAGGCCCTGCCCTGGCCTGTGCACTCTGTGAGCCAGCACAGGGCTCCCGCGTCCAGAGCTGCTCTGGCAGAAGGGCTCTTAATCCATACATACAACCTGGATATGTCACCTCCCAATTCTCCTAGGGGCTAGAGGGGCCCCCACGGCCAATAAAAGAGCTCCACATACCCAACCCTCTCATTTCTTGGGAGTGACTCCAAATCTCCAAATTAGCACTGCCTACAGCTCATTCTGCAGGATTGGACTCTGGGCCTCCTGTTTCTTATCCTTAGTGACAAAGTGTTGTAGGGAGAGGGGGAAAAAAAAAAAACTGAAGATACCATTAGTTCTGGACTGGAAGTGTGGCTCAGTGGGCAGACCTCTTGCCCAGCATGCACGAGGCCCTGGGGTCGATCCATAGCCCCTAGAGTGGTAGCACATTGATTGGGAGTTCAATCCCAATTGAACTTGCTAGGCGGCAAGTTCAAGGCCAGCCTGGGCTACTTAAGAACCTGTCTGTGAAAAGAGAAACCCTGACCTGGAATTCAAATGTGGGCTCTGTCTAAACACGAGCAATTTCCCCTCCATGGACCTCTGTCTATCTCACCAGCAAGGGCTGTAGACCCAGGGGCCTGGGAAAGGTTAAAGTGAGTTAGTTGAGAGCCAGAAAGTGGAGGTTGGAAAGATTTCTGGTCTACGTGCTAATTCCGTCCTCTGGTGTTCTGTGAGGGAATTTCACCACCATAGGAAATGAGTCTTCATGTAACCTTCCTGTAGGCTTCTAAAACAGAGTTCTTCAGTCACCCCCTTGTGAGTCCCCTGGATATAAATGACTTTGACAGAGGGAGGTATAGATGATTCATCTCAGTTTCCTCTCTGGAGATCCAGACCCCTCCAGGGGCTGGAAAGAGTCTAGAAGCCAGCTGTACACTGTTGGATCCCATCAACCGGGGTGACACTGAGAAGCAGGGGCTCACACTGACGGATGGACGGACAGACGGATGCACCAGCCCGGCAAATGGCTAATGAGCCTTGGGCTAGCTATCTAGAGATGGCGGGGGGGGGGGGGTAGGACTTGGTCGGTGACACACAGTCCCTTGGCCGTTCTCCTGCTATCCACTCCAGGAACTGACCCTCATTCCCCTCACCTCTTCCCTTTCTCAGAAGGATGGCTGATGCCCAGACGCAGGTAGCTCCTATGCCAACTGTCCAAGCAAGGACTGGAGAGGACCTGCCCCTCCCTCCTCCCCCAGGCCTGGAGGGTCTGCCACCACCACCCCCCAGGGAGTCCTTCTCCAAGTTCCAGCATCAGCGGCAAGCCAGCGAGCTGCGTCGTCTCTACAAGCACATCCATCCTGAGCTTCGAAAGAACCTCGAGGAAGCTGTGGCTGAGGACCTGGCTGAGGTGCTGGGCTCGGAGGAGCCCACGGAGGGCGATGTTCAATGCATGCGCTGGATCTTTGAGAACTGGAGACTGGATGCCATTGGTGGCCATGAGAAGCCAGCTGCCAGGGAGCCTGTTTCGGGGGGCAACGTTCAGGCCACCTCTCGGAAGTTTGAGGAAGGCTCCTTTGCCTACAGCTCAGATCAGGAGCCAGCTGGATCCCGGCCATCCGGAGGTGATGTTCAGGCTGCCAGACAGTTGTTTGAGACCAAGCCACTGGATGCACTGACAGTTCGAGAAGAAGCAACAGAGGCCACCACGAAGGAGCCCGCAGCCAGTGGAGACGTGCAGGGTACCAGAAAGCTCTTTGAGACGCGCCCTCTGGACCGGCTGGGCTCCCGCCCCTCTGTGCAGGAGCAGAGCCCCTTGGAGCTGCACTCAGAGATTCAGGAGCTGAAGGGTGGTGTGAAGAAGACAGTGAAGCTCTTTCAGACAGAACCTCTGTGCGCCATCCAGGACGCAGAGGGCGCTATCCACGAAGTCAAGGCTGCCTGTCGGGAGGAGATTCAGAGCAACGCTGTGAGGTCAGCTCGATGGCTCTTTGAGACCCGACCTCTGGATGCCTTCAACCAGGATCCCAGCCAGGTGCGGGTGATTCGGGGGATCTCCCTTGAGGAGGGAGCCCTGCCCGACGTCAGTGCAACCCGTTGGATCTTTGAGACTCAGCCTCTGGATGCCATCCGTGAGATCCTGGTGGACGAGAAGGACTTCCAGCCATCCCCAGACCTCGTCCCGCCTGGCCCAGACGTTCAGCAGCAGAAGCATCTCTTTGAGACCTGTGCCCTGGACACTCTGAAGGGGGAAGAAGCTAGGGCAGAAGCTCCATCCAAGGAGGAAGTGATCCCTGGTGACGTCCGCTCTACACTCTGGCTGTTTGAGACGAAACCCCTGGATGCTCCCAGGGACCAGGTCCAAGTTGGTCATTTGCAGCGGGTGGGTCCCCAGAAGGGTGAGGAACTCACTGCTGACTGTCTGTCTAGTGATGGCCTCTCAGCGTCGCCTCTGTCTCAAGGGGTCCCCCAGCATGATGGGTTGAAGGGGGATGTGAAAACCTTCAAGAATCTTTTTGAGACCCTTCCCCTAGACAGCTTCGGGCAGGGTGAGCATTCAGTCTGTGGAAGCACAGGCCGAGTGCAAACAGCTGGTTGTGCCGAGCAGCCCCAGGGTACAGATGCCCCCATCTATGCAATGCAGGACAGCAGGGGGCAGCTCCACGCCCTGACGTCCGTCAGCAGAGAGCAGGTAGTGGGAGGTGACGTTCAGGGCTACAAGTGGATGTTTGAGACACAGCCCCTGGACCAGCTGGGTGGGAGCCCCAGCAGCATTGATGTGGTACGAGGCATCACTCGGCAGGAAGTGGTGGCTGGGGACGTTGGCACCACTCGGTGGCTCTTTGAGACACAGCCACTGGAGGTGATCCACCAACAAGAGCAACAGAGAAGACGCGAAGAGGATGGGAAGGGGCCAGAAGCCCCTTCTGAGCCCCCCCGAAAAGGCGATGTACAGACCATCCGCTGGCTGTTTGAGACCTACCCCATGAGCGAGCTGGCAGAGAAGCCGGAATCTGAGGTCCTAGACCCGGCGACCGGGGCCGAGGCACAGTCATGCACCTGGATGTTTGGGCCCCAATCCCTGAACCAGGTAGAAGGCTCTGGGGAGCAGCACCTGCAGGCTAGCCAGGTCCAGGCTAGAGACAGACAGACAGACAGACATGTCTTTGAGACCGAGTCTCGGCAGGCATCGGGCCAGCCCTGTGGCAGAGGGCCTGCAAGGTACTGCAGCCGGGTGGAGATCCCTTCAGGGCAGGTATCTCGGCAGAAAGAGGTTTTCCAGGCACTGGAGGCAGGCAAGACGGAGACACAGGGGGCCAGGATGAGCCCTGACTCCATCCCCACAGGCTCTGTGCACAAATTCACCTGGCTGTTTGAAAACTGCCCCCCGGGCTCCCTGGCAGCTGAGAGCATCAGAGGGGACAAGCTCCAGGAGGAACAGTCTAAAGGCTCTGCAGATCGTAGGGCACCAGAGAGGCAGGAGACAGCGGCCGAGAGAACCCTTCGGACTTTGCACGCCACTCCCGGCATCCTGCACCATGGAGGCATCCTGATGGAAGTCCGAGGGCCAGGGGAGCTCTGCCTTGCCAAGTATGAGCTCCCAGGCCCAGGGCAGGGGCACCCCTACATACGGAAGGAGGAGCTGGTGTGCGGTGAGCTCCCCAGGATCGTCCGCCAAGTGCTGCGCAGGGCAGATGTGAGCCAGCAGGGACTGTTGGTTCAGGAGGACACCACTGGCCAGCTCCAGTGCCACCCACTCAGGATTCCAGGGTCAGGGGACACTGGGAACATTGGAGACATGGACCCTGAGCTCCAGCAGCTGCTGGCTTGTGGCCTTGGAGTCTCTGTGGCAAAGACAGGGCTGGTGATGCAAGAGACAGGGCAGGACCTGGTGGCACTGACAGCTTACTCCCTGCAGCCCCAGCTAACCAGCAGGGCCCCCGAAAGGAGCAGTGTACAGCGGCTGGCCAGCTGCATAGACAAAGGGGACCTGACCGGCCTTCAGAGCTTGCGGTGGGAGCCACCAACAGACACAAGTTCTATACCAGGCAGGGAGGAGTCCCAGAGGCTTCCCCCAACTGAGAGCATCGTACGTGTTGCCCCATTAGACTCCACCATGGAGATGGAGCACCTGAGAGTTTCCGCGGCCACACCCTGCCCACCTCCTCCTCGGGTAGTTGGGGAAATGTTCCTTCCAAATGGCAGAGCTGTAGGCCAGGCCCCGTTGCAGGAATCAAGAAAGCAAACAGATGCCAGCCCAGCTGGGCAGGCGGGGAAGGCAGCCTTAGGAGGGCCTCAAGGACCCACAGCTTCCCCTCCAGGCTCTGGGACCCCAGGTCTCCAGGAAGCCATGCAAAATCTGCGGACGGCAACTGCCGAGGCCCAAAGCCTGCACCAGCAAGTTCTGAGCAGATGTCTGCAGGGCTCTGACCACGCAGCCACCTCCACGCCTAGCCAAGACGTTCTGCAAGCATCGAATCCTGCCACTGCGGGTACCCGAGGCAGCATCAGGCCCGTGGCCAGAAGTGACCCCAGGATCCCAGCAGCCCCCAGAAAGGTCAGTGGGGACAATAAGGCAGTCCCCAAAGGACTGCCTAGGGGGTGGGTGACGATACAGGATGGCATCTATACTGCTCACCCTGTGCAGACATCTGATCCACCTGGGACTTTCCAGCTTTCTGAAAAAGAGTCCCAGCCAAGGGCCGGAGAGAGTGTGCTCTCTGTCCACAGTCCCAGCCCAGCCCAGCCAGAAGCAGGTGGGAGTCCCAGGCCAGGGTATCATGAGCCTGGGGGTCATACACAAAAGGCCTGGGGAGCTCTGGAGAAAGTGATGGTCCCAAGCTGGCACAAGGGCCTCCAAGCAGCAGACTCCACCCTGAAGACTATCCCTCTAACTCATCACACTCCTGTGACATCTAAACCCCAGGCAGCAGGTGCCAGCCTGCACTCCCATAATGCCTCTGTTCCTCCCCCTCCTACTCTCCCAGCTGCTGTGACAGAACCTGACCACCCCGCTCAAGGCCACCACCGTGAGGACTCCATCCAGCAGGCCTCGGAGCCCCTTCTTCACACTCACAACAGACCTGCTGGCCAGAAACCCCCAGAAGGGTCAGAGACAAAAAGCTCCATACCGGAATGCACCATGCCTCCAAGGAAGAAACCCCCAGTGCCTCCCAAACCTGCACATCTAAGCCAAGTCCAGCCCCCTCGCAGGCTGCCAAAGCCCCCAACAGTCTCTTACAGCATCTCAGAAGCCGGGCAAGAGCACAAGCCAGGTGAACCAGACACAGCCAACCCTCAGTCAGTCAAAGCTCCCAAAGCAGCAGGCCCGGAATGCCTGCCTCCAGCCAATCGCTCCAAGGGACAGATGCAAGCCAAGCACCGGCAACTTATCAGCCCCATGGCTCCCAGGCCCAGCAGTTGTCAGATACCCAGCGGCAGTAACCAGAGCCCTGAGTCCTCTCGGGTGAACATTCTCCACAATGACTTCACCCCACCACAAAAGGACCTCCGCTCCCCAAAAGAGCAGCCCATGAATTGTTCCGAGCTGGGAAACCCTGAGAGCCCAGGGACTGTACAGGGCAGCCGTGGAGAGCTCCAGGGCCTCCTCAGCCAAGGGCAAACTCTGGAGCAGGAAGCAGCCCACAGTGTGGACGTGCAGGCCCTGCAGAAGCTCTTTGAGGGCGTACCCCAGCTGGGAGGGGGCCCCCCTCAGGTTCCCACTGCACCACACAAGACCCAAGCCTCAGTGGAGCTGGCCTTTGGCGAACTGACCCGGGTGAGTGCAGAGGTTGCCCAGCTGAAGGAACAGACCCTAGCCAGGCTGCTGGACATGGAAGAAACGATACACAAAGCTCTTAGCTCCATGTCTAGCCTTCAGTCTAAGGCTCACACAGGCGCTATCCACAGAGAATGCCAAAATACCCCAGCACACACAATGCCAATACCTTTGCCAGCAGCAGAGCCAGGCCTGCAGGCTCAAGCCGGATCAAAGATCCAACTGTAGTCAAAAATCTAGGCAAGGCAGAGAGCCATCCAGAGCAAGGTTAAGCTAAGATCAAAAATCACACAGGGCCAAAGGTCAGGCAGCACTGACGACTGTCCTTCCCTCCAGGACACTGGAGGCACCAAGACAACAAATGTCACCTCCCTGCAAACTTTCATCTCTATCCAATCAGCTACAGAGAAGCTTCTGGAAGCTTCTAGGCCTCAGCGAAGCCATTATATCTCAGGGAAATGTATACACCTAGCTCAGGACATAAACCAAGCCCTGCAGTACCGGAGAGATAGCCAGGATCAGGCAGGGGTGGTGGTTTTCAAGGGCTCTGTGCCCACAGAGCAGCAAAAGAATGTTCTGGAATTGCAGTCTGGGTCAGCTAGCTCCAAGTCCTACGGAGCCACAAGAATGCTGACTGAACAGTCTGAGGAAGATGGACCCATTTGGGAATATGGTCCTTATTCCACTGATGGACCCTGGTTCAGGGCCACACTTCACCCTTGCTAAGGCAGTTCCTACACAGCCCCTCCCGGTTCAACAGTGACATGGCAGAAGCCGAGGTGGCATGGGTTCCCTGCAGCCACATCCAGCCCAGTGAGCCCCTCTGTCTCCCAAACACACACACACACACACACACACACACACACACACACACAGCTCTAGGACTGAGTCAGGGGCAAGGACCAAGAAAATGGCACTCCTCAGAGAGCTGATGGGAGCCGTTTGCCTCATTAGGTCCAGAGTAACACTGGATGGGTAGGAGGCAACCTGCCAGCTGCCCGTGGAGGATGGAACATGTGCACACGCTCCCCAGCTCACACGTGCCCGAGTCTTCCCCTCATCACCTGGAGTCAGAGAGACACCCGGCCACGCCCTCAGCTTCTACTTGTTTTATTATGGAATCTGGCTGTCTTAATCCCTGGTGAGGACCCGGGCTGACTGGACTGGACCCAATATCGGTCTCTGACAGAGATTGGACGGAAGACTCCAGAAAAACCCTGGGCGTCTGCCCTTCATGACCAGTGGTCCAAAGTTCATACAGAAAAAGCTACCAGTCAACAGAATTCCCAGAAGCTAAGTACACTGCCCTTTCTTCTCCTGTCACCCCCACTCAGTACCCCAAATGAGAACAATATGACCCCAAAATAAAGCCCAAGGTGATTCTCTACTCTGTGTGTATCAGACCGTGCATGTTCCTGCCCCAGAGTCATCATTCACACGGGGAAAACGGTCAGGTGCCTGCTCTAACATTAGCAGCACTGAGCTCGCAGCCGAGCCCGCATTCCCCCACAGTGTAGGTCAGGAAACAGAAAGGCCCGGCCCCCTCCTGTGTTCTGTGACCTCTGCCTGCACACATATCCACCACACCCCATTATCCCTGCAGGCAGCACAGGGCTCAAAGGGAAATCCGTGGCCAGCAGCACTCCATATACACACTCTCACACGCACACGGCACACACGCACATACCACAGCTCCACTTGCCGCTTCCCCTTTATCTCGGCCTCCTGCCTGACATTCTTGGATGTCATTCTAGGAAAACAAAATCTTAAAAATCCTGGCTCGGAATGGGAACGTGACCCCATACAATAACCAGGGAGAGGGGGTTGGACATTCCTGCTAGAACTCCCATGCCCAGAGTGACTCAGCCGTTTCTCGGTCACCTGTACTCTTGGCACACAGCAGGCACTGTGTGTGCCAAGCAGGGAGGCGCTCTTGCGAAGGGAGCGATCAGATCCTGACCGGGAAATGCAAAGACTTGGTGAAAACCGTCTTCCTCTTTTAGAAGTCACTGTGCATCCTACGCCAGGACCATTGTAGGGTGAATGGACGACAGTAAGATCCAGTGGGGTACTGTTCCCGGGAAACTGGCTTTGCATGAGGACAGGGAGAAATCAGAGATGGCATGTGCTGTCTTTCCGCTCAGGAGACATGAGTCATAAGTCACGGCAGTGTGGCCGTGGCAAGGAGTGGCGGCAGAGAGGTGGCAAGTGTGGGCCTCCGTGGGCCTCCGTAAGGAAGACACATCTGATATCTGAATGCCAAGGGATCGGGACCCACAGTGAGTGGTGTGTGCGTGTCATCTCAGCACGGGGATGTGCGTGCAGTCTGAAGGAGCAGAAGTTCAAAGTCATCAAGGTCTGAGGCGACGTCAGACTGGTCAAAACAAAGGGAGTGAATGCAACCACCTATGGCGCATCCCTTTGATCCCAGCACTAAGGAGATGTAGCTCAGCAGCGTCTTGTTCACCCAACATGTACAAGCTTTCAGTAAATCAATCCTCAAAACCACAAAAAATAAAATGCCTGTACCAGGAATTCCCATATTGCTGCCTCCACCCCCCCTTTTCTCTCTCCTCTACAGTCCACAGGCTCTCACTTGGCTTACCATGTGAATGTCTTCAATGTCCTCATCTATAAAATGGGCGTGGTTGTGTTACTGCATGGAGACTAAATTAATAGGTGTTTAGTACTTGAGGCTAAACCTCTACCTGGCATACATTCTCAGCACTGCAATTTAGGGGAAGTTTTGTTTTTGTTTTTAAATTGAGACAAAGGCCAGATGGTGGTGGCGCACACCTTTAATCCCAGCACTTGGGAGGCAGAAGCAGGCAGATCTCTGTGAGCTTGAGGCCAGCCTGGTCTACAGAGTGAGTTCCAGGACAGACAGGGATACGCAGAGAAACCCTGTCTGGGGAGGGTCGGGGAAGGACAAGTCAAAGTCTCTCTCTATAGCCCTGGCTGGCTTGAGACTCTCTATGCAGACCAGGCTAGGCTCAAATGTCCAGTAATTCTCCTGCCGTCCCCTCAGGGCTGAGGATGACAAGTGTGGACCACCTGGCCCAGCAGCCTTGATTTTTGTTTCATTTGGTTTTGAGGGTCTCAAGTTTGCCCTGACCTTGAGCCCCCTACTTCTTAAGCCTTGGGATTGTAGTTGGCATGTCGTCACGACTTTCTGGAATATCTTTTTAGTATCTCCTTTCTCACCTGCAGGGGGCGTGTGCCCAGCGTTGTTCATCTTGGTTACAAGTCAAATAAATGAGCACACAAATGAACGAAACGATTGAGTCAGTCTGTGGATTCACGCTACTGGCATTCAATAGCACTTCGTGCCAGGGTCTGTTCAGGGTGCTAAAAATAGCGATGAACAAGGCAGAATTTACCCTTGGCCTCACAGGGCTGACAGAGAAGACAAATATATAAGCAGATTAGGTCATTTTACACGGGAGAAAAAAAAAACTGTGTGTGGACAACAAGGTCAGCTGGCAAGGGCACGGTGAGTTTGGGTGGTCGGGGAGGCGTCGCTGCAAGAGCGTGGTGTAGCGGCGGGTGCAGGAGGCCCCGCCCAGCGTGCAGGAGGCCCCGCCCCCGCCCGCTCACACCTGCAGCCGCACCTGCATCCACACCTGCCCAGGCTCCGCCCCTCTCCACACGCGCCGAGCCCAGACCCCGCCCCTGGAGCCGACAGGGCGTGCTCCCACTGCCGTCGCCAAGGTGACGGTGACGTCGCGGGCTTTTGGGTTCGGAACGTTCAGGCGGTGGCCGGTTGCCAGGAAACGCCCGGCAGGCGTGCTGCCAGTGCTGGCTCCGCGAGCAGACGCCGGGCGCCAGGACGCGCCGTCCCGGCCAGCTCTTGCACGGAGCCTCCCTCCCGGATTCCAAACGGATGCCGGTTCCGGGGCTCACCCGGGAGGGCGTCTGGTTCCTCCTTGATGCTCTCTGTCCTTGCCTGTGTCTGGAATTCGTCCTCTGCCTCCGGCTACCATCCATCTCTGGCTCCCCAGTTTGAAACTCTGGTAGCAAAGTAAAATGTTAAGAGCCCGAGCAAGCGCGATAGCTCTGCTGATAAAGGCGCCTATAGGGCAAGCTTCCCACCCATCCCAGAATCCAGGTGAAGGTTGAAAGAATCTACAGTTATCCTCGGACCTCCACGCACAGGAGTGGCATCCTCAATCATCCACGCACATCACGCAGACACAATAGTAAAGGATTGATTTGTTTTTATTATTTGTGTTTGCGTGTGTGCACGTGCATAAATGTAGGTTTCTACCGATGCCGTCAGAGTTGTAGTTTGCCTGATGTCTGTGCTAAGAATTGGAAAAGCAGTACGTGCTCTCTCGACCTCTGAGTCATCTCTTCAGCCCCAATAAGAATACATTTTTAAAATTAGTTTAGAGGCAAGAGTGTGGCTCCCACCTGTAATCCCAACACCTTGGAGGCTGAGGCAGGAAAGGAAGATAAATTAAAATTCTGTGCTACAGCGTTCAAGGCCAGCCAGGCAACTTAATGAGACCCTACCTCAGATAAAAAGTTAGAGCTAGGCTTAGTGGCTCACACGAGTAATCCCAGCCCTCAGGAAGTTGAGGCAAAAGATTCTGTCATCTTGAGACCAGCCTGGACTATGTAGCTGGACCTTGTCTCAAAAAGCCAAACAGCTTGTGGTGGTGGCTCACCTTTAATCTTGTCACTCAGGAGGCAGAGGCAGGCAGATCTCTGTGAATTGGAGGCCAGCCTGGTCTACAAACTGAATTCCAGGCCTATATGGCTTGGTGGTGAAGTATTTGCTTAGCCTTTGTAAGGCTCTGGGTTCAACACACACACACACACACACACACACACACACACACACACACACACACACACACACACACGCCACTCCTCCCAGTACCCTGTCCTGGCTTCCCAGGTTACTAGGTCTGGAATCTAAGCTGTCAGTAGCCTGTAGGACCAGAATGGCTTGCCTCTCCACATTCCTCTCCCCCAGGCCCCCAGTGCGCCTTACTCTCCTCCCCTAGTCACACTAGTTTTCCACCATAAAACACCAAGTTGTTTCCTGCCCCAGGACCTTTGTACTTCCCCCACCCCCCTCACCCCCCCACCCCATCTTCAGTGACTGGACCCCTCACTTTAATTGCAACCCTGATTCTCTCTTGAAAGGCCCTTCCGCATCAGTGATGTGATGGTATGTCAGGGCATAACACAAGCTTCCATCAGCACCTTGGAATACAGATTACCTTGGACTGGTAGCCATGGCAACTGGCTGAGCAAAACAATACAGTGATAGGGAGCAGCTGACTTTCCCCAGTAGGAGGGTGGTGAGGTCACAGGCTGGGATTCCAGCCATTACCCCTTCCTACTCCCTAAACCAGGCTGCAAGCCTTGGAATATAATAGAGAATAAATATCCTGAGATGGGGACCCACGAGAGGCTTCCATGAGCTCATGATCCGTGACAAGGAGGGACTTTTCGGTGATGCAGCTGTTTGGGGTCACCCACGTTCCGGTGAGTGACTCCTCATCTGCACTCTGGAAGTGTCAGACTTGGGTGGGATTGTAACTTTGTGCTGTCGTCGCTGCCTGGTCTGGAGCCAATGTGTTCATGTCTCCCAGGAAAAGTTTTCCACACATGCCCAGCCCTTTCTGTCCAAACAGGAAGGACTTCCTCCATGTTTCCATGTCTTTTCAAGTTTTTCCTAAGATCTATCAGCGTATACATAAACTGCAGGCAGAAGCTGACTGACTGCAGTGACTGCAGAGCCACACCCATGGAATCATGGGATTGTTCCTTCTCTTTCTTCATCCTCTCTTCCTCTTTTTTTTTTTCCCTTTGGTTTTTTGAGACTGGGTTTCTCTGTGGCTTTTTGAGCCTGTCCTGGAACGAGCTCTTACCAGGCTGGTCTTGAACTCACAGAGATCCACCTGCCTCTGCCTCCCCGAATGCTGGGACTAAAGGCGTGTGCCACCACCACCCGGCTCCTCCTCCTCCTCTTTATTCTTCTTTTTGGTCTCTCTATGTGTTCCTGAGTTCCTGGAACTCACTTTGTAGACCATGCTGGCCTCGAACCCACAGAGATCCACCTGCCTCTGTCTCCCTAGTGGTGTGACTAAAAGCATTACCTTTCCATAGCACTCGGGCTTCCTCCCTGAGGTATGACTTCCATATTCTTTGTGTAAAGCTCCCTCCCACCATGTGTCTGATCTCCATGCCCGCCTGTTTAAATGACTTTCTCCTTTTCTCCGCCATTCACCTCCTCCAAGCAGCTGCTGAGATTTACAGCCAGCCTACACTGGGATTTTTCTTTTAAATTCTAATAAAGTTGTCCTTGAGTGTCCTGGGAATAATGTCGCTTGCCTTTAAGCCCAGCACTCAGGACAGTCATGGCTATGTAGAGAGATTCTGTCTCCTGACTTTTACAGAGGACTGAATTAATTCTAGCCCTTGCAATGAGCAGCTCACAAATGCTTTATAACTCCAGCTTCAGGGAAATCCGATATTGCGCCCTCTTCTGGCCTCCATGAGCACTGCACACATACAGAAACAAACTTAAAATGAATAAACCTTTAAAACATTAATTGATCTTACCCTTTGTGTTTGCTGGTGCATGTTATTGTCACAGGCAACAACTGTTGCACCAGAACCCTCCTAAACTGTAGCTGAAACAGCCCTGGGGTAAACGCTCACCAGTGGCCAGGAGTTGGGACGGAAGCCAGGATGGACGGTTTTTCCCTGACCTGTAATATGGAGGACCTCAGCTCTCTATGTGATTTCCTTACAGCACGGCTGTCTCATGGACGCCAAGGCTCCAGGCATGTGACCTACCTAGCAAAGCAAGAAGCAGAATTCAAAAGCCCCAAAGAGTAACGCTGGCTCGTGAATTCATCACGGGCCTGCCCAGATGAGAAGGAAGGGGTGTTGGCCACGGCAAAAGTGTAGAATGTGGTGCTGTCTCTGGCGGGTGCCGCCTCCACTGCCAGCCCCTCCTCACCGGGATCCCACCTTCTCGAATCACACATCCCTTCTGCCCTGATGATTCCAAAACACACAGACAGTGAAAAAGGTTTATCTACCAGAGCATCAGTGGAACACGCACTCACCATAGGATACTCACTGCTCATGACTGTGAGTAATACTTGACAAAACAGCTTGAGGGAGGAAGGGCTTCGTTTTCTTTCTCTGTTGTTTGCGGATGCAGTCAGACACAGCAGGGGAGTCATGGCGGCTGGGGTGAGGCATGAAGGGAGCAGAGAGAGATGAACACTGCTATGCAGCTCAGATGGCGGCCCTTCTCACCTCAGTCTCCCCTCCTGGCACACCAGAGATTTACTTGTTTCCCTGGGAATTCTAAACTCTGCCAAACTGACACACTATCACACCTCATGTTTGTATCTAACGTGGCAGCCAACTATCGTGTTTTTTACAGGGTTTCTCTGTAGCTTTGGAGCCTGTCCTGGAACTTGCTCTGCAGACCAGGCTGGCCTCGAGCTCATAGAGATCCGCCTGCCTCTGCCTCCCGGGTGCTGGCACTAAAGGTGTGCGCCACTACTGGCCAACCAAATATAGTTTTCTTTTTTAATTGCACGTGTTTATTCATCTATGAGTGGGGGCACATTCCTGCCATGCCACCCACAGAGGTCAGAGGACAATGTCACCAACCCCACCGTTTTGTTATCTCTT